AACGGGATTGGGCAATAACGGGTTAAAAACATAGAGTTGAGATAGTATTCACCTCTGTTGTTAAAAATTGCTATGTAAAATATTAAATAATCTATTAATCACCTAATCCGTAGTCTATACCCTAGACATATGGTATATAAAATATAGCAAAATTTCAAGTAGTTCGAATTAAAGTATTTTGAATTTGTATTTGAAATGAAGAAAAAATGACCGAAAAATTAGTTTTGAGAAAAAGGACAAAAGAGGCACAATGCAATAACAAAAATAAATTTTTTTTTTAAATAATTGTAATTTCTGTTCAATTTGACATAGAAACAATCCTTAAACGGTTTCAGAAAGAGAAAAGTTTATAGTTTTATTACATATATATTTAATTTAATATAATATAATAATATATATAAATTAATAATTTATTTTAGTTACTTTTTATTAAATAATTACAATTAATATAAATATGTAAATAGGCATGACAGAATCACAATATTAAGTGGCTATTACTAATTTATTCACATGTTTCATTTTCCATTTTGTTCCTTCCTTGACTCAGACTAGAACTCAGAATGAAAAAAGAATCTGAGAAAAAAAAAATTTCCAACGCTTCGTATTTATTACTAAATTTATATCTTGCTAAATATCTTATATAAGAGAAAAAAAATTTCTCCCACTTAAAAATAAAATTAATCAACTAAATTTAATTAATAAACTAATATTTTAAAAAACTTTATGAATATCAAGTGCCATCCAATACAAGTTTAAAAAAAAAAATTTTGAACTTGAGTGGATAAATAAAAAGAATTTTATTAACGATTGAAAATTTGAACAAGATATATAAATATATATATGGGGAGTTTGAACTAATAGTAGGAATTTTTAAAAAAAGTCGCGTTGTATCAGACAACTATAAAAGTTTGAATCTGGTGACGTGGACCCCACGTGCTACCATGTAGTGTTCTTTATTGAATATATTTGAAACAGCAAATCTAATACTATATATAATTCTCTTACATGGCTCCCAAATTTTTGCTGTATTTCTTTTCCACCGGTGGCAACGTTTGCTTTGTTTTGTTTAGGTTACTATTTCTCTTACACGGCGAATCGACCAATGATTGCCGCAAAAAATGTCACATGCCAAATCTAGCTGAGGTGGCTCAACATATAGCGCTTTTAAGAACGGAAACTGAAATAACCAAAGAGCATCAGCTGCGGCAATCTCATACTATATAGCTAGGCAGAAGTGGGTAGTCTTTGTCGATAGATCTCTATTTTAGTATTTTGCCGAAAGCGCTTTTTTTCACCAATTTATATATTACGAATTTATTTGACGATTTTTGATTTAGATCACGAATTATACTATAGCACATTTCAAATAGGTTTAACGAATTACATATCATTTATTTGAATTCAAATTTATTTTAATGACTTAGTATTTACTAAAAAGATGTAATTTAAAAATAAAAAAAAGTTTTTATGTGGATTTGAATGATTGTTTTGAATTCTTAGAATTTTGTACATTTGCAATGTACCTAAGTTAGTAGCGAGCGAAGCGAGCCTGGTTTGCGAACAAACCATATAAGATTGCGTAGCAATTTTCGAGAGTTGGCGAGCTTCAGCGAGCAGATGGCGCAGCCCACTAGTATAAAATAATTAAATATTTAAATATGCGCAATAAACTATTTTTTTGTCCAAATAAAGCTATAAGTTAGAAATTATTACTGATGAATTTATTATTTAAAATATGTGAAATACTGAATCGCTTATTGTAAAATTTAAAACAATGACTAACGCTTAACCAATCAGAAAATTTCATTTCGTTTTTCTCTCATCCCTATTTAATGAATGAGAAATATTTGAAAAAACTGTATTAGCATCAAGTATCATCCACTACAAGTTTAAGAAAATGTATTTGAATATAGGGGGATGAATTAAAAAGTATTTTATTAATGATTGAAAATTTGAACAAGATATATAAATATGTATATGTGTGAACTAATTGTAGGAACTGAAAAAAAAAACAGGAAAAGAATATTTTAGTCAAAATCGGCTGATAAAAAGTAGTCAAGTAAATTAAAAATTCCAAAATAAAAAACTAAAAAAGATTTTCTTTCAATGTTATCTTGATGACAAATACTACCTGGGACACGCTCTAAAGAATGCTGTGATGCCACAAAATTAATTCACCAATATCGTTTATCGTGGTTCATTTTCTGTACTTTTCAAAGGTCGTTAATTCGCACCTTTGCGGAATTTCTTTATTAAATTATCCTAAAATATTGGCAAACTATTTGAGGAATGCGACAATTTATTGAATTTTGTAGGCTGAAAGAGTTTACCAAGACGGTAATTAAAATTACAGACAGTAATAAGTGAGTTTGAAGAGTTAGTTTACTTAATAAGATAAATCGATTTTGTTGTCGGCAAGTTAATAATATCTTTTACTGTTTTCAAAGCTAAAGTAATCGAGTAAACTTTCTATGGGTACTCAAATGGTATGAAGGTCGATTATAAAGCTATTTCAGGTTGCAATTTTATTGGTAATCCTTAGACTCTCATCATAAATGGGTTTCCAATAGAATCTGCCGTTTCAATATCATTTCCTCAATTATATAATTGAGTTTTTGCACTTGAGTTAATTATATTTTGTCCGGAAATAGGAAAATTAGCATTTAGGCTGTTGACACAGTACTTCTACTCTAAAATACAAGAAAAATACTGACGAATTTCGATATATATATATATATATATATATATTTCGCATATATTTTTTACTTAATGTATCTAATTTCGTTTCGATTTTTTTGAATGCAGCTCACACTATTGTATTGATATATTTTGCTTTGCCTATATTAATACAATATTAGAAAGCACTCCTTTTTGCGGATATAATCGTGTGGGCTGATGAAGAGATTATATCTTTTCTTTGTTTTTTTTCCGGATTTTTAATTTCTTCCTTTTTTTTTCTTTTATAGATATCAAAAATTACATTTTTTTTAAATAATTTTTCAAAATTATTTTTAATAATTTTCTTTTCTTGTCATTATTTTTTATTATTTTCCATATTTTCTCAATATTTTGCTTATTTTATGAGTTCTATATATTTGCAGCTTATGAGGAGTTAATAAAACTTATTAATTTCCTTCGTTTTTCCCTTTGTTTAGAGCTTTGACCTGTTCTGTTTTATTATTGCGATTTTTCCCATGAATTTAACTCTAACTCATAATTATATATAATAAGATTTACATAATATCCATAAATAATAATCTATGTTTGTATATTATATCTTTAATATAAACTATGTTTGCATGTTATATCTTTAATATAAACTATGTTTGTATATTATATCTTCAATTTTAATTATTATTAGTATAATTATTATTTAATTATCATTATTAATTAATATCCCCTCTTTTCCAAGGCTTCGTATTTAAACTTAGGATAAACAAGCTAGCCTCATTTTAATAATAATCTGCTTTAGTTTTTATCTAATATTTTAAACATATATGGTGGTTTCATTTCTTTATGATTAAAAAAAACTACAAATCAAGGCTCCTTTAATTAGCAGAATTGAAAGGATAATCTGCTTTCGTTTTTATTTTAATATTTTAAACGTGTTTGCTGGTCTTATCCCCTTACAATAAAAATAAAACTACGTATCAAGCTCCTTTAAGTAGCAGAATTAAATGGATTTCGTATTGTTATATTCAGAGGAGTAAAATCTAAATGCATGAAAAGATGAAAGGAAGGTTATATGCTGTTGCTGTCACTTATGCCACTTGCTAATACCAGCAAGTTTACTTGGAAATCAAGCGAAGTCTTAAAACAGAGGGTACGTTTCCTCTTTTTTCAGTGGCGCCATCTATGACCAAGAATACGACTTCAGCCGCACACAACGTCACAGCCCTTACATCAGAGAGGTACCAATCACACTATATACATTCATTTAAAGATCGTAATTTTGGCCTGAACCAGATAACGATCAATCTCCAAGTAACAAATCTGTACCCCCCGAGGTATTGATTTGTTATGGGAACTTGGAGGACTTTGTGACCCCCAATAGATTTAAGGTGCTCCAGTCTCCCTTCATACACGGGGATTTTTCGGCCGTCGGGATTCAATCTCACGACCATATACCCAATGTCTTACCAACCAGGCTATCCCAGACCTTGCAGTTATTATAAATCAAAACAGCATTGACTTAAAAAATTGTTTTTAACAGCCAATATGGGTTTTTTATACTAATTTTAGGCTGAAAAGAGTTAATTGAACCTTTTCAGATAATTATTAAATATTTTTTCAGGGTTAAAGTTCATTATGAGGACCTTTCAGTTAATAATTTAATTAAATGTTTTTAATGCTTATAATGAACGGGTTTTTGATAAAAATTGTCTTTTTAATATTTTTTACTATCAATTATTTAGTTGAGAACTTATCAAAATATAAAAAGTTCTATTTTTAGCACATTAGTTAACTACAGCTAAGCGCATTCGAAAACTTAGCACTCATTTAAAAACATTCACTTATTCAAAGATTCCAAAGTTTAAATTAATTTAAAATTAATTCAATAAAATTTTTCATTATTTTATTTAAAAATTAAAGAAACATTTTTCATGTTTTCTTTTATTTATAGTATGAGTAAACATCTAATAAAATTACGGGAAACGGAATTAAGCAAGAAGTAAATAAATGTATGACACAATCACATCTCCTTCTTTGAATCTAGAGCATCAGCTAAATGTTTCCTATAGAAATTAGTAGGGGGCTCTGCTATGAATTAAAATCGGAGAAAACTTTGATAATATAACTGCTGTGACGTCAAAGAAAGCATCATTAATTATTATTCGTTAATGCAATTTCTGAGAAAGCAAAAAGCTTATTACAATGCACGAAACATCATTCCACATTTACTTTACATTTTAAATCTTAAGGGAAGGCTATCATAAGTATTTTCGTTTATGCAGTTTAAAAATTTATGGAACTTACCAACATAGATTTCAAAATTGATAATTTTCTGGTAAATTATAAATAATATTTCCAACTTATAAAATTGTATTTATAATTTCTTTCTGTTTAAAAACGAAATCGAATTAATCTTTATACTTTAACTGTTCACCATTCTTCTTCAAACTCAGCGTTTATTGAAGGTACGTGTTAAACAAATATTTCATTCTGTACAGATGTATAAATATAATTTGGATGATTAATAATTTCCTAGCAGATACAAAAATTATCAATTAAGTCTTATAATCATTTATCCATCCTACAAGTCTGTAAGTTTTCATCAAAAAAAAAAAAGGTTTTGTTTTAAATTTCCTATCTAATATTTATTTTATTATTATTCTTTTCTAAAACTTTTTCTTATGATTCATTAATTTTGATATTTATTTATTTAAATACTGTTATCTTATTTTTCACCTGTAAATATATCGAGGCACTATTAGACTAACTAAAACACTATAAGCATGGATAATGCATGGGTGTCTTTACGATTTACTGTAAGGAGTGATTTATTACGGATCAAGCCAATTTTTCATGGTTATTGTGCTTCTTTACTTTAAATCTATTTTAAAGCCAAACATAACATTTTTAAAATTGTAGCCACCAATGAAAATATGTATTTTTTTTATACTTTTTCTTTACTTTTAGCTGAGTCGCCTTGGATTTTATTTTGTGAACAATGTCTTACGAAATTTAATCACAGCGGGTTTTTTTTAGTATATCAATCAAAGTCATTGAATTTTTTTCTTACTTCCCATGGATTAATGTTAATAAGAATATGAGCTAGATGATAAGTTAGAGAGTATTATAACTTAAAACATGGAGAATAAATTAGAGAGAGAAAATTGGCATGTTCATATCTAAGCAATATTTAATTTCGTAACCACAATCCTGAGACAAATAAACTTAAAAAGTCAACCCCATCATTTTACAATTCCTAAAAAAATAAACCTATTTAATTTTTATAGAAAACTTCAAAAATTACAAAGGTGTTTTGAAACTAGTCGTTTTTTGATTTGATACGAATTGATTATTGCTGTCTTTAATCTACTCACCAGAGACAAAAATCCTAGGGTAAAAATTTTTGTTAAAATTTCGAAATTTTAAGAGTATACTAATATAAATAATAGAGTATATATTATAAATACTAGGAATCGTAACTACAATTAATTGCAATTTTTTAGATATAATTTTCATAATCTTTGTGCGAATGCAGTTTAAAAATATATATATTATAATAATAAATAGGCGTTTTATCGTTTCGTGAGGCCATAGAAATATCGCCAACGACTGCAGTCATGCTTACTTGTGTTAAGAGGTACTATTAATATTTCAGTAATAAGTTGCAGGTACTTGGGGCACCAAATGCACCGGAATACTCCATACATATAAAAAATTCCATCAATTAGGAAAATTGGCTCAAATTTCATCAAATTGTTTAATATTGTAACCAGTGCTTGTATCTAAATTGAGAATAAGACAAAAAGTAATTATTTTTTTTAAATTTTTGAATTAATTTCTTATATGACTTATTTGATTTAAAAAGATTTATGTCACAGTTTACATGCAAAAGAAAGAAAGAAGAAAGAAAAGACATATAAAAGTACTTCAATTCATTATATTTTTACAACAAGAAAAAAAAAAGTTTTGGTTAGATTCTTAAACACAATTATAGGTATTGTGGTTATAGGTTTTAGTGCCCAAGTTATAGTCCACAAGAATTAACTTGCTGCTGCATTAATGACGAATCTTGAAGATTCTTCGCCAAGCTTCGTCGCCAACGCATATGTACTGTGCACAAAGTAAAAAACGGAACATACTGAATAACTTTTCACCTAATGATCGGATTTTCGCGTATTGAAACTCGATCTCATTAGTTCGATGGCCTCACCTTAAAAATGCTGATTAATTAGTGCAGACGATAATTTAAGTTGCGAAATCAGACACAAAAACATACTTTCTCTGGATGGACTTAACTTTTTCCACTGATTTGAATTTCTGCCCCCAAAATAATGGAGAGGAGGAGCTGCTATCTCGAAAATATGGTAACATTACTCACACTGATAATGTTACCTGTTGATCGTATCGAAATTTTTAAGTATCGTTTGAAACGTTCCTATGTGAGGTGTTAGTGAAAAACTTCCATTTCAGGTGAAAAGGTTTATTTTTTTCTGTTTCCAAAAAGTTTGTATAACTTATTCCAACTTTGAAACAATTTTTACAAATACTTATTATCTTAAAATTTGGCAACCATTTGACAAACATTTCAACGTAATTATCTTATAAATAAGGAAATAGCATTCATATAGTTTTCCATAGATGTACATAGATGAAGCAGAATCCTTTTTCTGTAAGGAGATGGGTCCTGAAGGGCAAATGACCCATCATCCTGGGCAAATCAAAATGATGTATGCAAAGTTTCTAATAGCATAGTGCCTCAACAGAGATATATCTTATTTCGAAAAGTAGAAATATAATTAAGGTAGATCTCAGAAAAAAGGGAGTGTAACACAAACCTAAACTTTAAGATTTGACGACAATTAAGTTCGAAATTTAATTCACGGTTAAAATTTTATAGTAAATGTATGATTCTGTCTAAGGAAATAACATGAATAATGGACAAAGTATTTTGTAAATAATTTTTAAAAAAATGTTGGGGATTTTTTTATATTAAGCGAGTCTATTTGGGACATTTATGATGTTATTTGAGGCTATGCAACAGCTGAAAAAAATTTTTTAATCTGTGTCTTCATACTTGCAAATAAAAAGAGTATATCCTTATCAAGTGGAAGCAATAGATAAATTATTTCATACATTGTGAAAGATTTTTGGAGAAAGACATCCAATGTTTTAAAGCATATCCAATAATGTGAAGTAAACCACACTATTATTTTAACAAATATAGTTCAAAATAAAAACTTCAAACTTTATTTTTCCATCCTTGAAATAAGTCGAGTATTTAAGATTTTCTTATATTTCAGGAAAATATTTTTGCAGCAAAATGCTACTCTTTACACTGGATTGTCCATAGCATTTTAGCGTATGCAGCGCCGATAGTTTTCCTCTTAAATTTATGGTTTAAGGTGATCTGGTGTAAAAAAATTCGATGAAAAAAGTTATTTTTATGTTCGTTCTATTTGAATCGAAATATAAGCAGAAGATATTTCATGCATCTGTCATAAATATCAATTGAATTCAAAATTAGCTGGTGGCAACGTCAACTTTTGAGAAGTTCCGTCAGCAGTTAACAAAAACAACAAGCATAACAGATCTCCATTGATGGCAATGAAACTTTATTACTTTCCATGTTTCGATCAATCCTTAATATTAATGATCTTTGTTTAAATGATCATTTCCAACGAGTAAAAGTACGGACATATCATCACACCAATATGAAACAGCATTCGGGAATCTTTCGGCAAATAATATTCTTGTCATTTATGGGAAATCAATTTCTATCGCCCTCAACCTGGAAGCCGGGAGATATATAATAATTGAAAAGCTCGAGAAACGAGCTCTTCCTTCATAAAGGATGAGAGATAAGTAGTAGATGGAGGCTATATTGGACATTATGCATTCTTTCTGGATCTTTCTGAGACATTAATGACCAAGAAAATTTCCATTTCGCTCTGTTCGATAACTAGTTCGACGACCTGAAATGATTGCCGGGGATTCTATCGCAGCGACGCGAAAATATTCCTTAATGGTATTGGAAAGGTGGTTACCTGCGTTGAAACAGTAACACTTAAAATATAAAAAGCGATTTTTCATTCACTCAATTCATTCTCGTTTTCGAGCGCTTTTTCCTTTTAGGAAATAACGCCTTATTAGTGAATAAAACTCTGTTTTTGTAACTGTTTGTTGCAATTATTCATCTCTGTTTTGTTAAGTTTTGCCCATTTGTAGCCGCCGTTCTCCATGCTTATTATTGAAATGGCGAAATTTCCCAACATGGTAATAGGCACTATTTTTTGAAAAATAAAAGCAATCATGATGCATTTTCTTTATGTTTGAAAAGGTTCGTCAATGTTACATTATTTATACTCATAAAAGCCTTGCATTATTTGTATTTTATTCCATTTTTTCCGTTTTAAATAACGCCATTGATAACTGTGCAACGACATCAAAGAGTGCCATAACAACTCTTGGCTCCACTTCGAATTTAATAAAAAAAATCTTCCTGTTAGGAGTTAGTAGTAACTTTTTTAACAGTTTTCCAACATAGAGATGAAACCGATATGGTTTTTTTTTTTTTTTTTTTTTTTTTTTTTTTTTNTTTTTTTTTTTTTTTTTTTTTTGCAATTTTCTCCGTCTTAACCTGTTTTGCGACCTCATGTTCAAGTTAAGCTTTCTCCCGTACTTAATTACCCTCTTGAATTTATTGGTCAAATTTTCATAATTAGAATATAAACAAAATGTTTTATTCTAAAAATTAATATAGATGGATAGCGAAAAGAAGAAGAATTATATCGAAGGCTGCGATGAGATAGACGAAATTGAAAGCAAACCCAAGGACCTTGATTCGAAATCTCTTCGGCCTTCTAGTTCTTCCAAATCACAAATTGGCGACGATGCAGAAAAAACCTTTGATGTGGATGAATTTATTGAAAGCGCTTGCGGTTTGAGATCAGATCCGATGCCACTATTGATGGCAGAACAGCCAAACTCTTCAGAAAGGGACAGCGTTACAGGTAAACATTCAATAACGTGATCTTATGCTGTAGCAAATATGTAGGTAAAGATTGCATACATTTGTACATTAGGTAAATAGTGAATAATACAAAAGATTTATAAGTAAAAATTTGGGTAAATGGCATCATGTGCGACTGTGCAATTATAGATAAAAATTGTTTTCTGTAATAAATTAATAAATACTGATTGTATTCTGAAACAAATGTCTTGGTAAAGGTCCTGTTCGACAATACTATGATATTACCTAATAGAAACTTCATAAACTTCATAAATATGCAAAATTGAAGTGACAATCACATGTTTCAAGCTGTCCGATCCGGCTGAAGTTTCCTCCTGAGTATGTGACGCCCCTGGCTGAAAACAGACTTAGACAAAATATACTTAGTTTTCATTATCATTCAGTATTTTTTTGTGAAAAAGACGGTTAAGAATTTTAAAGAAATAAGATACAAAGAGAATTTCACAAATCTTGAAACTAGCAGTTAATTTCTTTAACGCAGTGGTGTACAGAACCTATTTGGTCAATAAGTGTTGCCATTTTGCCGTGCTTTGAATAATAACTGCATTGACTTTTTAGAATCGAAACTCTTTATATACGGTAATAAGAAAACTTTTTTTTTCTTTGGATAGTGCACGACTAGGGTCTCTTTATATTACATTTTAAATCTTACGGCATGGAGGTTTGCATAACAGGTATCAAGGATACAAAAGAAAACGCAGGAAACGAGCCAAGTATTTTAGTGACTTTAAATATTATAAAATCAAATTATACAATAATTGCCTGCGTTTTTTGGCTGCTGCTTCTAATACTTCAAAATCTACATTTTTTTTCTTTCTAATTTTTTTCCTTGTAGATTCACCAAACTGCAGACCAGGTGTCAAGAAAACAAGTGTAATGTTGGATGAAAGCGTCATGGCGTCGTGGCTCTCTGAAAGCAGTTCAGATAGCCATTGGAGCATAGATCAAGAAGATAATGATAGACAAAAGCTACGTGCTGAAGATGAAAGGCATTAGCTTATTATAATTATTATTACTTGATAGCTTATTATAATACTATAATTATTATTACATAAATAACTTGATGATAAAGCAAAGTTATCTTAACTTTTAAAAGCTAATTATTTCTTAAAATATATTGTTGTTTAACATTATTTTTGCATATAATAGATACTTTAAACAGATAAGAATAATTTTAAATGCAGGAAAAAGAACATATGTCAAGAATTTCAAAATTTCACGAAATTAAAAAGCCTTGTTAATGACTCGATATGTTATATCTGCGAAAGAAATATTAATTTCTTATTTATTTGGTAAGTTTTGACTCTCAACCAGTCAGAAAATGTTTCTCATATTTCGCAGCTTTCTAACAACGTTTGATGTAGGAACTCTATGATCAACGCAATTCTTCTGGTATTAAGGAATTCAGTTACAATAATCAGGATTCTTATTACTACCAGAACTTTATAAACAATTTAATTTTTTAACGTTCATTCTCATAACGTTTATAATATTATCTTTCTCTGGGCTCTCAGAAAAATCGTTTCCACGTTTAACAATTATATCTGCTCCTTGCTGCAATCTTGTTGGGTGTTGGGGTGTTAAATTGGACCACGTTTTCGTTCAAATAGAACCATAATATTACGTAATCAAGTTTAAGCATGTGACTGGGTGGCGCAGTTGGTTTGTCGTCGGCCTTCTGAGCCCAAGTCTGCAGGTTCGATCCCAGGCCAAACACCGGATTTTCGGGATGCAGAAAATCCTCACCAGCCATGTCGTATGGTTATGCGACATGTAAAAGATCCCTGGAGTGCCTTATTGGCTCTTGGCATTTCCGGCAAAATTAAATTCCTAGTCCACTTTAGCATCCAAATAGTGTCACGGTGCTGCCATCTAGTGTGGCAGAATCTAGACGTCCAAATTAACATGACCAACGGTATCTCACCCATTGTGGTGGTCCTGAAAGAGAGGATACCATCTCTGGAGAGCGCACTAGGTCTGCTCATCGGCAAGACCGATTGTGCAGCTCATTGGAAATAAGTACAATAGTATAATTCAACGCAGTATTATACACTGCTGGACAATTGCTAAGGACGGATCACAAATTGCAATGTAGCATAGCATTAAGCGAGATATGTGGCCTAGTAGGATAAAATATAGTTGCCACACTGTTCAGACATTAGAATAAAGAATATTCATTGTTCTGGAAAGTACAAAAGCTATGAAACATCTGAAAGAAAAAAAATGTTCATTTGATGCTGCGTACGGAAAAATGGAACAATGCATCGAAATGTCAGCAGGCAACTTGAAGAAAGGTGTCAGTACGGGATATGTCCTCCATGTAGTGTGATGCAACATTCTACACGTCGTATCATACTTTGCACAACATTATCCAGCAGCTGTTGAGGCAATTTATCCCATTCCTCTGTCAGTGCACGGATGAGGGTGTTCTTGTTTGTCGGAGGATAGTTTC